GCTCACAGAAGAGGGAGATATGGATAGACACCTGTAATGGTGGCAGCTGAGAAGGAAAGTATTTCATAAGTTTTTTAATCTAGGTTCAACTGTAACGTCATCTGAGGTTAATTCCACATTCCACAGATACTGACCCAGCAAGAACAAGACCTTGTCTTTGACCCTCTACTACAGCTATACATAGCTCGCAGTAGAGGGAGATATGGATAGACACCTGTAATGGTGGCAGCTGAGAAGTAAAGTATTTCATAAGTATTTTAATCTGGGTCCAACTGTAACTTCATCTAGGGCTAATTCCACATTCTGTGAATACTGACACAGCAAGAATAAGATATTGTCTTTGACCCTTTACTACAGCTATACATAGCTCGCGGTAGAGGGAGATATGGACAGACACCTGTAATGGTGGCAGCGGAGAAGGAAAGTATTTCATAAGTTTTTTAATCGAGGTTCAACTGTAACGTCATCTGAGGTTAATTCCACATTCCACAGATACTGACACAGCAAGAACAAGACATTGTCTTTGACCCTCTACTACAGCTATACATAGCTCGCAGTAGAGGGAGATATGGATAGACACCAGCAATGATGGCAGCTGAGAAGGAAAGTATTTCATAAGTATCTTAATCTGGGTCCAACTGTAACGTCATCTGAGGTTAATTCCACATTCCAAAGATACTGACCCAGTAAGAACAAGACATTGTCTTTGACCCTCTACTACAGCTATACATAGCTCACAGAAGAGGGAGATATGGATAGACACCTGTAATGGTGGCAGCTGAGAAGGAAAGTATTTCATAAGTTTTTTAATCTAGGTTCAACTGTAACGTCATCTGAGGTTAATTCCACATTCCACAGATACTGACCCAGCAAGAACAAGACATTGTCTTTGACCCTCTACTACAGCTATACATAGCTCGCAGTAGAGGGAGATATGGATAGACACCTGTAATGGTGGCAGCGGAGAAGGAAAGTATTTCATAAGTATTTTAATCTGGGTCCAACTGTAACTTCATCTAGGGCTAATTCCACATTCTGTGAATACTGACACAGCAAGAATAAGATATTGTCTTTGACCCTTTACTACAGCTATACATAGCTCGCAGTAGAGGGAGATATGGATAGACACCTGTAATGGTGGCAGCTGAGAAGGAAAGTATTTCATAAGTTTTTAATCTAGGTTCAACTGTAACGTCATCTGAGGTTAATTCCACATTCCACAGATACTGACCCCGCAAGAACAAGACATTGTCTTTGACCCTCTACTACAGCTATACATAGCTCGCAGTAGAGGGAGATATGGATAGACACCAGTAATGATGGCAGCTGAGAAGTAAAGTATTTCATAAGTATTTTAATCTGGGTCCAACTGTAACGTCATCTAGGGCTAATTCCACATTCTGTGAATACTGACACAGCAAGAACAAGACATTGTCTTTGACCCTTTACTACAGCTATACATAGCTCGCGGTAGAGGGAGATATGGATAGACACCAGCAATGATGGCAGCTGAGAAGGAAAGTATTTCATAAGTATCTTAATCTGGGTCCAACTGTAACGTCATCTGAGGTTAATTCCACATTCCAAAGATACTGACCCAGTAAGAACAAGACATTGTCTTTGACCCTCTACTACAGCTATACATAGCTCACAGAAGAGGGAGATATGGATAGACACCTGTAATGGTGGCAGCTGAGAAGGAAAGTATTTCATAAGTTTTTTAATCTAGGTTCAACTGTAACGTCATCTGAGGTTAATTCCACATTCCACAGATACTGACCCAGCAAGAACAAGACATTGTCTTTGACCCTCTACTACAGCTATACATAGCTAGCTCAGTAGAGGGAGATATGGATAGACACCTGTAATGGTGGCAGCTGAGAAGGAAAGTATTTCATAAGTATTTTAATCTGGGTCCAACTGTAACTTCATCTAGGGCTAATTCCACATTCTGTGAATACTGACACAGCAAGAATAAGATATTGTCTTTGACCCTTTACTACAGCTATACATAGCTCGCAGTAGAGGGAGATATGGACAGACACCTGTAATGGTGGCAGCTGAGAAGGAAAGTATTTCATAAGTTTTTAATCTAGGTTCAACTGTAACGCGTCATCTGAGGTTAATTCCACATTCCAAAGATACTGACCCAGTAAGAACAAGACATTGTCTTTGACCCTCTACTACAGCTATACATAGCTCGCATGCAGAAGAGGAGATATGGATAGACACCTGTAATGGTGGCAACTGAGAAGGAAAGTATTTCATAAGTTTTTTAATCTAGGTTCAACTGTAACGTCATCTGAGGTTAATTCCACATTCTGTGAATACTGACACAGCAAGAACAAGACATTGTCTTTGACCCTTTACTACAGCTATACATAGCTCGCGGTAGAGGGAGATATGGATAGACACCTGTAATGGTGGCAGCGGAGAAGGAAAGTATTTCATAAGTTTTTTAATCTAGGTTCAACTGTAACGTCATCTGAGGTTAATTCCACATTCCACAGATACTGACCCCGCAAGAACAAGACATTGTCTTTGACCCTCTACTACAGCTATACATAGCTCGCAGTAGAGGGAGATATGGATAGACACCAGTAATGATGGCAGCTGAGAAGTAAAGTATTTCATAAGTATTTTAATCTGGGTCCAACTGTAACGTCATCTAGGGCTAATTCCACATTCTGTGAATACTGACACAGCAAGAACAAGACATTGTCTTTGACCCTTTACTACAGCTATACATAGCTCGCGGTAGAGGGAGATATGGATAGACACCAGCAATGATGGCAGCTGAGAAGGAAAGTATTTCATAAGTATCTTAATCTGGGTCCAACTGTAACGTCATCTGAGGTTAATTCCACATTCCAAAGATACTGACCCAGTAAGAACAAGACATTGTCTTTGACCCTCTACTACAGCTATACATAGCTCACAGAAGAGGGAGATATGGATAGACACCTGTAATGGTGGCAGCTGAGAAGGAAAGTATTTCATAAGTTTTTTAATCTAGGTTCAACTGTAACGTCATCTGAGGTTAATTCCACATTCCACAGATACTGACCCAGCAAGAACAAGACATTGTCTTTGACCCTCTACTACAGCTATACATAGCTCGCAGTAGAGGGAGATATGGATAGACACCTGTAATGGTGGCAGCGGAGAAGGAAAGTATTTCATAAGTATTTTAATCTGGGTCCAACTGTAACTTCATCTAGGGCTAATTCCACATTCTGTGAATACTGACACAGCAAGAATAAGATATTGTCTTTGACCCTTTACTACAGCTATACATAGCTCGCAGTAGAGGGAGATATGGACAGACACCTGTAATGGTGGCAGCTGAGAAGGAAAGTATTTCATAAGTTTTTTAATCTAGGTTCAACTGTAACGTCATCTGAGGTTAATTCCACATTCCAAAGATACTGACCCAGTAAGAACAAGACATTGTCTTTGACCCTCTACTACAGCTATACATAGCTCGCAGAAGAGGGAGATATGGATAGACACCTGTAATGGTGGCAACTGAGAAGGAAAGTATTTCATAAGTTTTTTAATCTAGGTTCAACTGTAACGTCATCTGAGGTTAATTCCACATTCTGTGAATACTGACACAGCAAGAACAAGACATTGTCTTTGACCCTTTACTACAGCTATACATAGCTCGCGGTAGAGGGAGATATGGATAGACACCTGTAATGGTGGCAGCGGAGAAGGAAAGTATTTCATAAGTTTTTTAATCTGGGTTCAACTGTAACGTCATCTGAGGTTAATTCCACATTCCACAGATACTGACACAGCAAGAACAAGACATTGTCTTTGACCCTCTACTACAGCTATACATAGCTCGCAGTAGAGGGAGATATGGATAGACACCAGCAATGATGGCAGCTGAGAAGGAAAGTATTTCATAAGTATCTTAATCTGGGTCCAACTGTAACGTCATCTGAGGTTAATTCCACATTCCAAAGATACTGACCCAGTAAGAACAAGACATTGTCTTTGACCCTCTACTACAGCTATACATAGCTCACAGAAGAGGGAGATATGGATAGACACCTGTAATGGTGGCAGCTGAGAAGGAAAGTATTTCATAAGTTTTTTAATCTAGGTTCAACTGTAACGTCATCTGAGGTTAATTCCACATTCCACAGATACTGACCCAGCAAGAACAAGACATTGTCTTTGACCCTCTACTACAGCTATACATAGCTCGCAGTAGAGGGAGATATGGATAGACACCAGCAATGATGGCAGCTGAGAAGGAAAGTATTTCATAAGTATTTTAATCTGGGTCCAACTGTAACGTCATCTAGGGCTAATTCCACATTCTGTGAATACTGACACAGCAAGAACAAGACATTGTCTTTGACCCTTTACTACAGCTATACATAGCTCGCGGTAGAGGGAGATATGGATAGACACCTGTAATGGTGGCAGCTGAGAAGGAAAGTATTTCATAAGTTTTTTAATCTGGGTTCAACTGTAACGTCATCTGAGGTTAATTCCACATTCCACAGATACTGACACAGCAAGAACAAGACATTGTCTTTGACCCTCTACTACAGCTATACATAGCTCGCAGAAGAGGGAGATATGGATAGACACCTGTAATGGTGGCAGCTGAGAAGGAAAGTATTTCATAAGTTTTTTAATCTAGGTTCAACTGTAACGTCATCTGAGGTTAATTCCACATTCCACAGATACTGACCCAGCAAGAACAAGACATTGTCTTTGACCCTCTACTACAGCTATACATAGCTCGCAGTAGAGGGAGATATGGATAGACACCAGCAATGATGGCAGCTGAGAAGGAAAGTATTTCATAAGTATTTTAATCTGGGTCCAACTGTAACGTCATCTAGGGCTAATTCCACATTCTGTGAATACTGACACAGCAAGAACAAGACATTGTTTTTGACCCTTTACTACAGCTATACATAGCTCACGGTAGAGGGAGATATGGATAGACACCTGTAATGGTGGCAGCTGAGAAGGAAAGTATTTCATAAGTTTTTTAATTTGGGTTCAACTGTAACGTCATCTGAGGTTAATTCCACATTCCAAAGATACTGACCCAGTAAGAACAAGACATTGTCTTTGACCCTCTACTACAGCTATACATAGCTCGCAGAAGAGGGAGATATGGATAGACACCTGTAATGGTGGCAGCTGAGAAGGAAAGTATTTCATAAGTTTTTTAATCTAGGTTCAACTGTAACGTCATCTAGGGCTAATTCCACATTCTGTGAACCCTCTTCACCAGCTATACAGAGCTCAGGGTAGAGGGATGCATGGATAGACAGCAGTAATGGCTACAGCTGAGATGGATCAGAAGAAAGTGTCTCATCATTTTATAACTTCCTATTGTAATGGTATCTACTGACTTAGCAAGAACAAGACCTTATTTGTCTTCCTTCAACCCTCTACACCAGCTATACATAGCTCACAACAGAGGGATACATGGATAGGCGGCAGTGATGAATGCAACTGAGAAGAAATGTGTTTCATCAGCATAAACTAAGATAATGGGAAATTTCAGGCCTGGGAGTTGTTGTTTCAAAGGAATTGATTGTTGATCTACTTTATAATCATATTATAATATATTCATAAACTAGTTATCATGTGCATCAAATATGAGGGTGCTTTTTGAGGACCTGAAGCCAGATTTCGAAGGGACAATGTATATAGAGACATTCAAAGCCAGTTGGTCGGACAAATCGCAAGAAGCTTGTAACAACAAATGATTATTTGACTTTCATCGAGATGAGCTAAACATGAGCTAAAGTTACAAGATTTCCTAGTCCTTGTGGATTTTGAAAAGATGCAAAAATTGATGGAAAGAAGGACGATATACAACACAAGAAAAGCTCACCTGACTTTAAGTCTGGGGAGCTGAAAAGCAAACTCTATGCATAATGGGATCCCTTTTTCAAAGAACATGGGGCTTGGACACATGAACTTCAAAATAGTTCATACATCTGTACTTCATAGGCACTTCTGAAACTACAGTAATACCCAGGGGCAACATACAGGATTTCTTTAATTTTTTCCTTTGTGTGTGTCCTATTTAACAGGTGACATGCATCCCCTGAAGCTATTTATTGTTTAACACAGATGATGCCTTCTGTGTGTCTTCGAGCAACTTGATGCTGTAAATGTTCCACCTACTCTCACCATAGTTTCTGGGCAGGATTTCATGATGCTGTGAATGTTCCACCCACACTCACCACACTTTCAGGGCAGGACTCCATGATGCCCTATATGCGTCTTCAGACAACCTGATGCTGTGAATGTTCCACCCACTCTCACCACACTTTCAGGGAAGGACTCCATGATGTCTTCTATGTGTCTTCAGACAACTTGATGCTCTGAATGTTCCAGCCACTCCATCACACTTTCAGGACAGGACTACATGATGTCTTCTGTGTGTCTTCAGACAACTTCATGCTGTGAATGTTCCACCCACACTCACCACACTTTCAGGGAAGGACTCCATGATGCCCTATATGCGTCTTCAGACAACCTGATGCTGTGAATGTTCCACCCACTCTCACCACACTTTCAGGACAGGACTACATGATGTTTTCTGTGTGTCTTCAGACAACTTCATGCTGTGAATGTTCCTCCCACTCTCATCACACTTTCAGGGCAGGACTACATGATGTCTTCTGTGTGTCTTCAGACAACTTCATGCTGTGAATGTTCCACCCACTCTCATCACACTTTCAGGGCAAGACTACATGATGTCTTCTGTGTGTCTTCAGACAACTTCATGCTGTGAATGTTCCACCCACTCTCATCACACTTTCAGGGCAAGACTACATGATGTCTTCTGTGTGTCTTCAGACAACTTCATGCTGTGAATGTTCCACCCACTCTCATCAGACTTTCAGGGCAAGACTGCATGATGTCTTCTATGTGTGTTCAGACAACTTGATGCTGTGAATGTTCCATCCACTCTTACCACACTTTCAGGGTAGGGCTCCATGATGCCCTATGGGTGTCTTCAGACAACTTGATGTTTTGATTGTTCCAACAACTCTCACCACACTTGAGGGCAGGATGACATTTGAACTGCTGTGAACGTTCCCTCCACTTTCAAGGAGAAACTCACTAATGGTGTCCTGTGCATGGCTTCAGACAACTTCATGGAGAGAATGTTAACATACCGGTACACTTTCAAGGCATGTGTATCTTCAGACAATGGACGCTGTGAATATTCCCCACACTTCTAGGGTTGGACTCAATGATGCTGTCTTTCATGTTTCATCATACTTCTGATTCTGCGATTCCATATGAAACCTCTTTTTGTGCATCTTCATGGTCCATGAAGTTGCGAACCCTTTCCCACACTCCTTACACTTATGAGGCTTGATTCCACTGTGACTTCCCATATGTCTCTGCAGGTTACCCGAAAGTGCAAACTCTTTCCCACATTCACCACATTTAAAAGGCTTGATTCCACTGTGAAGCCCCATGTGTACAGTCAGATTACTTCTTTGTGTAAATGTTTCTCCGCATTCACTACACTCATACGGCCTGATTCCACTGTGACTCAGCATGTGAGACTGCAGGGTAGCTGCTCGTGCAAACTCTTTCCCACATTCAGCACACTTAAAAGGCTTGATACCACTGTGAATTCTCATATGTGTCTTCAAATTACCTCTCAGTGTGAATGTTTTCTCACATTCACTACAGTTATAAGGCTTGAGTCCACTGTGACTGGTCATGTGACATTTCAGGCTGTCTGCTCGTCCAAACTCCTTCCCACATTCAGAACACTTAAATGGCTTGATACCACTGTGAATCTTTATGTGTGTCTTCAGAGTAGCTTTCAGTGGAAATGTTTTCCCACACTCACTGCACTCAAACGGCTTGAGTCCACTGTGACTCACCATATGTCTCTGTAAGTTCCTTGATGTTGTAAACACTTTCCCACACTCACCACACTCATATCGTTTCGCATTCACATCACTGTGGCTACTCATGTTTCTTCATGTGTGCCTCCAGATGACATTTGTTGTGAATTCTGTCACATTCCTTTCCACCCACACTGGACGTTTGAAACAAAACTCCATTATGCCATGACTCCTTCACTCAAAATGCTTTACTTGTACAATCTTTGTGTTTCTTGAGATGTGCCATTAACAGCAATGCTCAGTAACAGTGAGTGTGTCCACATGTGTCAGTTCGGATGTGGCTCTTGAGATCAAGTTGTCCATTATGACATTTGTTTCAATACCAGAGCTAGGATTCACTGGTTAATCTCTGTATCCATCATCAACTGGGGCTGTTATGGTGTTCGCTGAAAACAAAAAAAGTTTATTACTTTCTTTTTTTTTTCATACCGACCATGTCTATGCATTTTTGTTATAGATCTCTACAAACACTGTAACAGCAACCAGAGCTGTGACAATACTCACAATGTACAAAGATTTATGAATTGTGACATGATTGATTGATTGTGGTTTAATGCTGCACTCAGCAATATTTCAGCTATATGGCAGTGGTCTGTAAATAGTCGAGTCAGGAATAAAACAATCCAGTGATCATCATGAGCATTGATCTACACAACTGGGATACGATGACATGTGGCAACCAAGTCAGCAAGCCTGACCACCTGATCCCATAACTTGCCTCTCACGATTGTTCTTGATGAAGAACAATTCTAATCCGGATCTTCACAGGTCGTATTGTGAGATGAAAGACACAATGTGATTAAAGTATATTAAAACATTACTCCTTGTAACTCAACTATTTCAGATTAGAAACTAAAACAAACATCATGACAAACATCCAAACACTCAACGAAGCTGTACTAAATGTTACAGTACAGAAACAATCGCTGTCCCTTAACAAAGAATGCCTGGGAATTAAGTAGAATTTGTCTTCAGCAACCCAAAAGACACCAGGATCTGATGGGCAGGATTACTACTTGTCCCTGTATTAAAATTCTGCAGATTGATGATCATAAATGTAAATCACTGGATTGTCTGGTCCAGACTCAAACATTTACAAACATACAGCAGGAATATTGCTGAATGTATCATTGAACAAGAAAAGCATATTGTTTTGCATCACCATGATCATGATGATCACTGTGACTATCTGTAACATAATCATGAGGTAATGTGATCCATAATGCATCTATTTCTCAGTGAATGGTTGCTAACTATGCTGATAACACAATCACAATATCAGTTAAATATTTATCAGTGTTGCATTATTGTAATGCATCGTTGTTTCATTGCATTACAGCATGTAACTGGGATAATATCACATGCATCAAATAAGTCAGCAAGCCTGTCGCAATGATTAAAAGTGATGTTTGGAGACCAGTTCTATCATTATCACATAGATAATGAAAATAAACAAACCTACAGCCCAACTATCCTACATGTAAATTTGTCTCCATTACCATGATTACTGTGATCAAATATCCAAAATGTATCCAGTTCCTCACTTACCCCAATCGATGACACTCAAGCCATTTTCATTTATCAATGCGATTTTACACTGTCAATAAAAGCCACAAACGCATATATGGTGGTATGTCACAGGTATACTCAACTAATCCTGATTACCAGGATATCTTGGTTTTCAAAGGAAATAAATCACAACAAAGGCAATTCATTTTGAAAATAATGTGAATTATTCATGAAATGTCAGAGATCATAGTACCCTGAAATATATACTATTTTAGTAATAAAATCAACTGCATGATACATTTAGTGGGATCAGTACGTGAGTCTAGGTCAAAGGTCCCTCTGGACAAAAGGCCCCTGGTACAAAAGCCCCTCTGGACGAAAAAACCCTCGAAAAATAACCTAAAGCCCCTCACTTTATGTATGAAGAAATAATTAATGACATGAAAATGTGTATTGCTTCATAATATAATGACCCTAAATAATATATAAATTATTATTACCCACGTGGTAGTTTGTATAGGGGTTTCATAACAAAGTGTGTGTGATTTGATTGAGTAATACCTGAACTTTGACATTACCGGTACTACTTTCATCACTCATTCCATTCATGAATTTCATTCTGAGAGCATGTAAAACGAGAACACTTCTATGAAATTAAATATATAATTTTTTGTGTGGTAAAAAGCATAGGTCTTCAATCCTTTAATAACTATAATAATATTTCTGTACATAAAAATGAAAATATAACAATCTAAATAAGTAAACAAATACGTCTACTAGTCTATTGTGAGTGTAAACAAATATGGCATCGCCCGTAAAAGTTAATGATTGCAGCAAAATTGAAGGACAACTGGTTGGAAGAGTTGTAAATACTATCAGCCCATTGAATACCGGTACCTTCAGCGTATATGTTGTCAGGACTGCACAGGGAGTTTCTAACACACAACCTAAAAAGATGAGCAGCGCTCTTGTATCTTGATCACTGCCACTGTCAGCCTCGTCCTGCACAAAAAATGTGTTCTACTGCAACTGCCATGCCTCCCGTGGTTTCTCATGTAGAGGGTAAAAACATGTTATTCACATTCGGCTTCTGCTGCCGCTCCTAATGCTTCCTTTTATCTGCTTGTTTGTGAACAGTTCTCAACATGACGACTTACCCGACAGTGATGCCGACTGACATTCAGGAGAGATTTAGGTCACGTAGTTAAAGCTTACATGCAACGCAGAACACAACTTTGCAGATTCTGATACTTTTCGGTATGGGTGAGTGAGTGAGTTAAGATTTAAAGTCACATTGGCAATATTTCAGCCATATCGTGACTAAGACTAGTTCTAAATTCATAATACATACATATAATATATAAAACCCTGTCAACGAAGGACAGTAAAACCACTAGATTATCACAGATTGAGTTAAAACTAGCTAGCATATATCCTTAAAACTTTCGGTATGGACTTACAGTAACAAATTATCAAAAATGCAAATTCAACCTATAAAGTTGAAAAATAACTGGCTGGGTTCGGTATCCCTGCTGCTTAGTTTCAAGGTTAGTAAACCCAAGTACACAATATTGCACTCTTGATTTGCGATTGTACGCTTATAATTTTGTTTATTTGTTTTTTCATAATCAGCAATGCATATCATATGTCATGAATAAATGATAATTGTGTTTTAATTATGTTTATTTTGTTGGTTGCATCTAAGCTGTAAGTTTAAAATGCTTACACTTTACAACTTATACAAGTGTTTTGATGAATTACATTATTGCATTTGAAACCAAATCCTCAATTGAAATGAATTATATTTTGGTCTGTATGTAAACTTTACTTTAATTGAGGTAATTTGCTCAAGTATGAGCAAGGTGTATACATTTCTGTGAAAAACATTTGACTAATACTTGATCAAACTAAAATTATTTACTAATTACATATTTATAGGATATCAAACGAGCTTCCCCTTTCATATCAAGTATATGTTTTGAGTGAAATAATTTTGCTTTGTCACAAGCTTTAGTGAGTGACTCAGCAAAATTATTTCACGAGAGACATAAAGTTGATATGAAATTGGAACGAGTTTTGTATCCTATTTATTACCCACGTTCTAAAAAATGAAAATTTCCCTAAAAAATGAAAACATCATTAAAATAAAGCAATAATTTGCCTTCCTATATAGAACCCCACAACAGAGAATAATACAAAATGTACATCATATTGGTGATTAGAATGTCAACCGCTTCACTCCAGGAAAATGTATGCTGCTTAGAGGCAATGTACTTCCTATAACTAGTCAAGAAAATATGCAAATGAAGACAGAATCAAGTCTGTGTAATAGGTCTGGTGTGTATGATTTGCAATACACTCATTTCCTTTATAGGTGGCAGACTTTCTGAGTAAGAAATTATCACACTTTCTCCATATTGTTTACATTGATACAATAAAATACTTAAAGGGCGACTGATCCAGAGCAATTTCAGTGGACTGGGTGTTGCTTTTGTTATTGTTTTTCTCCAGTGAGTACCCGGATGATATCCCAGAATTCATGACTGGTTTGTTACCTCTGATGTGCCACCCTTACGCGCAACTGTTAGTATAAGTATAGACTGATCAACAAAGATAAAATCTTTTTTTACTCGATAATCTTATGTTGATTTTGTTGTAAAATTATGTAGACTTTGATGAATAATTTGGTTTCTTATACAAAAATATTCACTTTGATAAAAATGCTGATTTTGATGTAAAATTTTGATTTCATAGTAATGTTGACTTTATAAAAATGTTAACGTAAATGGATGTAGAATTTGATTTAAGAAATGGTTTGACCTTGAATTTGGTAAGAAGCCTGATATAATAGCATTGTTTTGAAAGTAAGGCTAACTAAGTACATGGGAAGTCTTGGGGAGAGTAGTGAGCTTGGGTTCACTACTAGTCAATCTGAATGTTGTATTAAATGGCATTATTTTGATAACAAATGAAAACATTTTAAGTTTAACCATCTGCCAGTGGTAAAAAATGTTAGGACTGAAAGAACGAAGTCAATGTACTTCTTTACATTATGTCTTATAATCCTAATTAGTTTATGATCATATTTGTATGCATTTTGAAACTTAATAAAATGCACACGATCTGCTTATACTAAGTGAATTTATAACATGACTGTAAATCTAGACATCTTATAGATTGCCAACGTGTATCATATTTCACACACAGCCCTAAGTGTGACCTAGTGTATGTTGTCTGTCTCATTACACTTCACGAAAAAAAAAAGTGATTCTGTTGAATGCCATAACAAATAAATACAAGAAGACAAAGTCATCAATATCCCCCACAATGGCAAAATACTCTTCATGATTATGTCAAATATTTAGGTGTGTATATAGAAAAGTGGAAGGAGAGTATTGAAAGGTTTTTAAAGTTCTGCTCCAGAAAGCAGCACTAACACCAATTTCAGGCTAAGTCAAACTTGTTGCCATGGAAATGCCAAAAATATTTTATTCAGAATTTCAAAACTACCAAAAGGCACCAGTACACCACCAGACCAATCTATGTGCCAAGTTTGGTGAAGAA